CGCCCCCGACCACGCCCAGCAGTCCGCTGAGGGAAGCGCCCCAAAGTCCGTCGGACGGACACATCTCCTCGCTGAGCTCGCACTCCGGATCGGGATGCAGTGACGTCCTGTTGGGTGAGTGTAGGGGGGTGGAGTCTGACTCCGAGTTCCGGCCTTTGAACCCCCTGACTCTTCCCGGTGGCCGTTATTTATAGCTGCCCACGGAACAGATCATGACCTAGGGAGCGAAGAAATGCCGGCGAATGGCAACATTTTATTGAGGTTGCTGACATTCGACGTCTCTGGTTCTCCCCCTTCGGCGCCCCTGCTCCTCCCACTCTGCGCCACTTTTGGCTTAGTTTACTCTACATGCCAACAGCACCCAGTTGAAAGTGTTGGCCAGAAATACCAGCCCGTCCTGCCACAATCTGTGCCACATTGCTCACTGCTCACTGGCTCACTGGGGGAAAATATAGCTTATTGTATCAATAAAAATTCAATATGATCTTTCATTGAAAAAATAGTCTAAAAAAAAAGTTAAAAAAATACCTAAAATAATAGTTAAAATGTAGAAAAACTTAAATTATCTTTTGAATAATAGTTTTCTAATGTTCTAGACAGATGCTCTAGATAGACAGTTATATCAATTGGGTAACCCTCTAAACCCGTTTAATTTTAAAATCTTAAGTAAACAGTTAAGATTGAGTGAAAATCGTTATATATAGAACATAAATCTATTTCTGATTTCTGGTTCCTATTGTTTGAGCAGTGTATAAGTTGTTTTTCCTGCCCTGACGTTTGCATGGGCATCTCCGCATTTTACAGTCCGTACTTTCTGGCATTCTGACACCGGCACGGCGTCATGGGGATGGAAATATAATAGTTTTGAGCTTGAGTTGCGAATTCCAGTTGTTTGCTGTTCCGCTTAAATTCGGCCATTGTTTGATCTTCGACTGTGCGCAAATTTTTCCTTCCACTCGCTTGCCCATCTAGTGATAATTTCTAACGCTCACTGAGGCAAACGTTGTTTACCAGTTGAGTGCTATCAAAATCAGTCAGGCCTCAACAACAATAGCAACAAATGGTGGCGAAAGAAAAATGCCCAGAGTAAACAAGACTCAGCACTCAAGCGGCTAAAATCTAGAACCTGCACTGAAAAATTAGCTTGTTAATTTTGGGGAATTTTAAAGTTGAAAAAGATCATATTATTTATTATTTTTACTTAAAATCTGAAATAAGAGCTGTTTCGATATAATTAAATATGTTCCTTTTGGCTTTGGTACTTAGAGTATGGTTAGTTTTTTGTATTTTTTTCCAATCTCAAATTTTTACTCTGGTATTTTATATATGGTTAATCCAAAATTTAAGGGTTTTTAATAGTTTTCTTATTTCTAATGTGTCTTATATTACTAAAATATTCGTAAATGCATGTACCCATATTGCCTATATCCTATGTTTTATATGAAAAGATTTTGTTTTTGCATAGTTAATATGGTTTTCAAGACAGGGTTTACTTCGATCCTACGTTTTACTGATCGTTTTGGTTCTGTGTAGAATCTAGAGGCTGTCGGCAGTGGCATAATAATAAGCAAATAAATAAAACTAAACGCATTTTGCGCCACTTTGTTGCTGCCCGCGCCCAGTTGTTGCTGTTGTTGCCTCAGATGTTGCCCATGACGTTGCCCACAAGTCATTGAACTTATAGCGGCAACGTAGAGCCCACAATAGCAAAATAAATAAGACGCGAAAAAGCGAAGAAGCCAAGGCAACCGCCCGCCCCCTCCTCGACCGCCCGCCCCCTTTGATGATAAGTGAAATGCAGTAATAATAAGAATAGTGCCCCCCCTTTTCGCCCGCCCATCTTTAAACAACTCTCACTCACACACACACACACACTCACTCAATTCGATTACACAATCTTCGCGAGGCGGCATTTTCATTTTTCTCTTCCTGGTTCGTCGTCATCGCGTGTCTGTGTATGGGTGAGCGTCTTCGAAGGAGTGTGCGTTTCGTGTCCGTGTGCCAGTGGAGATCAGGTTTTATCGCCCGACGCAATCGGACATATAGTATGGGGTACGGTATGGTATGGTATGGTATAGCCTGGGTGGATCGGTGGGGGCGGCGGAGTTATCGCTTCGATTGGTCGCCGCACTTCGGCTTTTCGCTTTCGTGGAGGATCGTGGATATATAGCTCTGCCGATCGCCCAGTTGCCGTTTTCTTGTTATTTACAGTTTCTGGTTGCTTTCGCTGCCCGTTGGAAAAATGGCAAACTAGCATGCAGTTGACGTCGCCGCTGCCGCTGATCATTGACTTTCGTTGGTTCCCTTTTGGGCCAGGCATTCGTCAGGGAAATTGTGCAATGCGTTAGGAAAATCACTATAGGGGCATTAGAAAAGTTCGGATTTTGGGTGTTTTAGGAAATTTGTTTCTTAAGATTTTTTTTATATAATATTTTTAGCACTTACTTGATGAATGGATACTTTTTCTTACCCATGTTGTTTAAAAGTACCTATAATTCTTAAATTTGATTTGCTTTTTCAAATATGATAATTTAAAATGTATCTCTTTTTTTCCTATCTTCAAGTATTAAGTAACCACTATTAATAATATCTATTAATCGCAAACATTTAAGAGCTCTAACTCAAATATTTTTTCTTTCTACACATTTATTTTAGAGCATCCATCTTTGACATTTTCAGTTTATTGTTTTCCATTTAACGGAATACCATGAAAAATACAACATCAACTTGAAACATTTCTGACTAAGAACTTGATTTTCCGCTACTTATATATCTATTGATCTTCAAAAATAATTTTTGTGAAAGTATTTTAGTGCCAAAACCTAAAGTTTACCACTTTCTTTCGAGCAGAAAAGATCGAAAAAAGAAACGCAGCAGCAACATGCAACTTTTAAACTTCCGCATTGCAGAATTTTCTCTCCCACTCGGAGAGCCAACTGCCGCTCTCCCTTTCTCTTTCTCGCCCAGTCGGCTGAAGGTTCTTGACCCCCCTTTAAGGCGCCCCCACTTCTGCTCTCTCTTTCCCTCGCACACTCACACATATACCAAATCTCCCATATTCTATTGCCTTCTCCCTCGAGGATAGTGCAAACTAAGTAACGGTTCGCGCCCCTCTCTAGCTCTCTCTCTCTCTTTCTATCGGTGCAGTAGTGTGTGTGAAATTGATCTTGAGTGGAGTGTTGTTGCACTTGGAAATGCTGGCAGCGACGTCGGCAGCGACGGCGGCAGCGACTGCGACAGAGGCAATAGAAATTGAAAATAGCAACCAGGAAAAGAGTTTGCAAATGGAAAAGTGCAGCAACAACACGAAGGCAGCGAGAGTGGCAATGCATGTTGCTGTTGCAAGTTGAGTTGTTGTCGCTGTGGCAGCAATAGTTGTTGCTTCTATTGCTGTTGCTGCTGTTGTTGTTGCTGCTGCTAGTGTTGCTGCTGGAGCAGTTTCTAATGTTGTTGCTGTTGGTTGCCTGGTTGTTGTTGGTGCTATGGCAGCTTGTGTTGCTGCTGCTGTTACTTCCCTGGTTGTTGCTGTTGCTGCCCGTGTTGTTGTTGTTGCTGCAGCGTGTGTTGCTGCTGCTGCTATCGATGTGACTGTTGTTCTTGTGGCTCTTATGGCTGGCGAGTGTGTTGCCGCTGTTATTTCCCTGGTTGTTGCTGTTGCAGCTTGGGTTGTTGCTGCTGTTGCAGCGTATGTTGCTGCTGCTATCGATGTGACTGTTGTTCTTGTGGCTCTTACTGTTGGCGAGTGTGTTGCCGCTGTTATTTCCCTGGTTGTTGCTGCTGCAGCTTGTGTTGTTGCTGCTGTTGCTGGTGGAGATTAGAAAGATAGAAGCTACAGCACATTGACTCTCTCTCAGTGCGCCCGCTTCGCCCCCCTCCCCCTGGATCTCCTCCAGAGATTCCGACTCCAATTCCGCCTCGTGCTGCGGCGGCGGCGGCGCTTCGCAGTTTTCCCACTCCATTGGGCCACACAGCCGCATTGCATTCTATTTTCCTGCTCTTTCCACACTCACACCACCGCACACTCACTCACACTCGCTCAGAGGGACACGTTCTTGCCGCAATTCTTCTGCGTCGCTGCCGTCGTCGTCTTGGACTTTTGTGTGTTGTCGTAGGTTCTGCGGTTCTGCAGTTCTACAGTTCTGCAGTTTGGCTTGGATTTTCCCTGGCGCATTTGGAGCGCTGCGAAGTTGGCGCTTGGATCTCGACGAGGCGAGAGTTTCGTACGCGCGATCACCATTTCTCCCCGAAAACATCGAGTCGCGAGTGCCGCCCCACACGAACCTATATCATATAATATCATATCGTGTCGCATCGACCGGCCGATTTTGGAATACGCTTGAACTTGGAAACGAAGGACTGCGAAAACAACACGGAAGTGAATTGAAAATTTATGCAGTATAAGCCATTATGAATGCTAAGTGCAAGTGACAAATAAAAGTGCAGAGGCATTAGGGGAGAGAAATGATGATAGTGATAATTTAATTAAACCGTTCATGGGAAATTGTGCACACGAATTAGGCAGGGCAATTTGTCATGACATAATAGTCATTCAAATGTTATGAAGTTGAAAATGAACTAGTAAACAAACTATTTTAACATAAAAATAAAATATTTCTTGAGTTTCTTGAGATTAAAAAGTTAGGACACCTAAAAAATAATTAAATCAATTATTAGAAAAAACGCTTTTTTTAGATTATTTATTTAGTTATGTTATCTGTTATCTGTGAAAAAATTTAAAAAGCACCATTAATGATCTCCTTAGATCTCCAAGTTATGAAAAAGAAAATCCATTGTTCTATAGGATCTGTTTTTAGGGGCTACTAAAGTTTTTTACCATTTTTGTAGGCTTACAATTTGGGTAGCATATTTCTTTGAGAAGGTATTAAAAAAGAAAGAAAGATTCCTAGCTAGGTAAACCAAATATTATATTTAAAGTTGAAACCAAAAAAAGACTTTCTCCAAAAGCTTAAGCCTAAGATCTCTTTTTAATTAAACCGCAGCCGACAAAAATTTAAAAATTATATAGAAATATCCCAAAGACTCTGAAACCCTTTAAGAACCCCTCCCCTCTCCGAATTCCCCACAAAGTGCCAAACGGTAAAGCATCGCAAAGATTTCCCACAAACATGCTGAGCGGGCGCCATCGCGGGTTGCCAACATCGATTTCCGCCAGCAGGACGATGATGAAGATGATGGATGGCCATCTGACCGATCCGATCCTAGCAACATGGATGTATACCAAATAGAGCTGGAGGCACAGGCACAAATCCGCTCCAATCTTCTGGTCGAAACCTGTGTGAAGCACTCGGCTGAGCAGCAGCAGCAGCTCCAGGTGAAGGAGGAGGACCTCATCAAGGATTTCGCTCGGGACGAGGAACAGCTAAGCGAGGAGGAGGAGGAGGAGGAGGGGGAGGACGAAGAGGACGAGGACGGGGAAGAAGACGAGGAAGAGGCAGACGAAGAGGAGGACGAGGGCGAAGGAGAAGGAGCCCTGCTGCCGGCGGTCAACTTTAATGCAAATTCCGACTTTAATTTGCATTTCTTTGACACACCGGAGGACTCGTCCACCCAAGGGGCCTACAGCGAGGCCAATAGCTTGGACTCCGAGCAGGAAGAGGAGCAGGAGGAGCAGGAGCAACATCACCGGGAGTTGCAGGATTGCCTAAGTGCCATTGAAGCCGATCCCCTGCAGCTGCTGCAGTGTGACGATTTCTACCGGACAGCAGCGCCAGTGGAGAGTGTTGCAGGCAGTCTTGGACCCCTGGAACAGCAACTCAACCACCCACAGCAACAGCAACAGCAGCAACAACAGCAGCAGCAGCAACAGGGGCAACATCCTGGACAGCAGCAACACCACCAGCTCAACTGCACGCTGAGCAATGGTGGAGGTGCTCTGTACACCATCAGCAGTGTGCATCAGTTCGGTCCGGCCAGCAACCACAACAACAGCAGCAGCTCCCCCTCCTCCAGCGGCGCCCACTCCTCGCCGGACAGCGGCTGCTCGTCGGCCTCCTCCTCCGGCTCCACGGGATCCTGCGGCTCCTCCTCGGCATCCTCCACCCACGCGGTCTCCTCCTCGTCGTCGTCCAGCTGCTCGGACCACTTTGCCAGGGGGCCGGGTACAGTTGTCAATGTCAGCGGTCATACATCCTCGTCAGCGGTCAGCAGCAGCAACAACAACAACGCAAGCAGCAGCAGCAACAGCAACACCAGCAACATCCCCGCAGCAACATCTTCATCTGTTGCGCATCTAAACAAAGGTACGTGGTACGTGCAACTTGCAACTCGGACTCTTCCGCGTTGTCGTCTCCTCTGCGGACCATTGTTGTCGCTGTTGGAAATTATGTTCAATAAATTTGCATTCATTGCATAACAGCAACAGCGGCAGCAGCAGCAATTGAAAGTCGTTGGGGCTTCGGTTTCTTCTCCTTTTGAGGAAACTATTAAAGCGCAGCATGAAAAATGTGAAAATGAATATAATTCCCTGTTATTGGCCAATGGTTGTTGCCGTTCCTCCTTTCCTTTTTTCCCTCTGCTCTGCGAGGAAATTGCTTTTCATGTTGCAGGTCTGTCAATGTGGTTGCATTGGGTGCAATTGAAAGGCATGGAGGAAATGTTTTCATTTTCATAAATCGCCTTGAATTGGTCTCGGTTATGGGATTTCCTTGGCTATTTGAATGGACTTCGGGAGTTGTGGGTTGCTCCAACTAAGAACTGAGCCGGAAAATGCGACTAAAATTGAGTTTATAACTATTACGGTCAGCTGAGGGCTGCACAGAGAAGAAATTTTATGTGGTTTCAAAAATTACATAATACATTTTCCGCCTTCATAAGAAATTGATTGAAGACCCTTACACGAAGTTTTAAACCATTTTTTTTTATAAGATAACAAGATCAAGATAAGTTACAAAAATTTTTGGTAAAATAGACAGAAACAATTCTTCTACATTTCTTACAGATATTAATATTTTAGAATGTATTTAAATATTTAAAATTATTTTAATTTGTGTTATATAAAAATTGCTTGACCTTATATTTCATTTATCAATTTTTCCTATTAAAAAATAAAAATATAATTCTTAAACCTTTTCTGGAAATGTATTTCCTACATTTACCGTGCACACTCCTTCGACCATAAAAACCACTTGGGCAAATTTGTCTTGGCCGGACTGGCTAATTGCCTGGATTCGCTGGCAAGGATTTCATTTTGCGGTCCGCAACGGCAACATTTAATTGCAGCAATTAGTGCGGGCAGTTGCAGGCGAATGTAAATTGCAGGCAAATTAAATCAGTGCATCGGGGGACGGGGGACGAAAACCAAATAGGAATTCATCAAGGAGACGTCGAAAACCCGACCGCTTTTCCCCGGCACTTCTATTGATATTTCTGCTGCGGCCAATAATGCCTGCCATTCGCTCGTTGCCTTCAATCAGTTGTCTTCGCCCAGATAAATGCAAGAAAAATGGAAATGAAAATGGAAGAAATCGAGGAAAATATGAAGTCTTTGTCGTCTATCGTCCATGCCTCTGACTTGTCTGACAACGCGGAAATGCCAAGCAGTTTTCCTCTGGCCCTCGGCCCGCACCCCTTTTTTTTTTCTTCGGCTGGGTAAACAATGGCGTTTCAAATTGTCAACTTACAAAAGCCACCAAATGATTTGCATTTGAACGCGGCGCGAAAATGAAAAGCAGGCACTTGAGTTTCCTTTGGGTTTTTCTCTTTCATTCCTGCCCGGGCCGACGACATTTTCCAGACGGCGTTGTTGCTGTTGCCGGCACTCCAATGGTGAAAATTCAATTTGCAATTGCACAAGCGCGTAACGCGTCACGCACTGAAAAAATATGTGTCATTTTAGATACTTAATTAGAAATATTTAACATGATATTTATTTGACGAAGTGTATTTTTTGAAAATTTATGAACTGTAAAAAATATTAATTTTGTTAAAATAAAGCAAATTATTTTTAACAAAGAGAATTAAAGAACAATCAAATTTTTCAGCATTGCAAAAAATTTATTATTAATAAAAGCATTATTAAAAAGAATTTTATTATTTATATATTAATTTAAATTCGAAAGAAGCTTGACTCTGCTTTATAATGCCAACTATATATTTGGTCATATTTTACATGTTTAAGTAACCTAAATATTTAAATATTGAAATCAAAGATCATATTAAAAAGTTTATTTTCCTATACACTTAAAATCTATCAAAACTTCTTTCCGTGTGTTCCAATATTTTCTTTTTCTTTTCTTTCCCCTGTTTTTCGGCGCGTGCAAGTTGCACATTAATTTCATTTTTTTTCGCATTTTTGAGGTGTGGCAACGCCAATTGGCACAGCAGCAACTAGCAACACCGACAACCAGCAACACCAACGGCAACCAGCAACAACAACGGCAGTTCAAACTCCGCGCTTAGTTCATTTGCCTCTTCCTCTTGCATTAGAAAAGCGAAAAATAAAAGCAAGAAATGCAGTCAAATTGAATTCGAAATGAAATGCCAAGAAGCAAACACTGCTGTCTGGCTCCAGTTTTTCCTTGCCTGCTTTTCAGTTTTTCCTTTACTTTTCAATTTTTTTTCTTCGCAATTTGCAATGCAAATTTTTTTCGGCTCTCGCACAGTGAAAATTGTTCGGCTGCAGTTTTTCCTCGTGACTGCCGTTTTTACAGGCAATTTATTGTAGGCGGTGGCGTATACGTGATTTTTTGGCATTTCTTCTTATCGCACATCGCCTGGGAGTTGAATGCACTCCATGGGCAATGCATTTGACTTTGATTGCCGGCCGGCTTAAGGATGATTGAGATAAGGAGTCTTAGGGCTGCCGGAAAAATTGAATTTAGCCATTAGGTGGGCAAGCTCAATGGGTTGTGACAGTTGTCGATTGATTGCGGCTGCCCCCGTGTGTTGCAACCAGGTGACATTTGTGTGCGGCAAGATGGCGAGTGGGTGATAAGGCAGCAGTGACAGCAAACTCATTTGCCAAATGGCACAGCGGCGACTGCTGTTGCACATGCGGCGTATGAGCAATGTGCCGTTGCATAAGCGACCAGCTGGACAACTTTCCAGCGGAGGAAATGTGTAAACCGATGCATTTTTCCCTTGCAGAGCAACAGCAACAGCAGCAACAGCAGCAGCAGCCGCAGACGACGACACAGCTGCAACAGCAGCAGCAGCAGCAACACCAACAGCAGTTGCAACACCCGCAGCAGCAATCTTTTGGCCTAGCGGACAGCAGCAACAACAACAGCAACGGCAGCAGCAGCAACAGCAACAACAACACCAACGGGGTCTCCTCGAAATCATTTGTGCCCTGCAAAGTCTGCGGCGACAAGGCATCGGGCTACCATTATGGTGTAACCTCCTGCGAGGGTTGCAAGGTGAGTTTTGTAAGGCCTGAAGGGATATCCCCTAATTAAGTATCTTTTTCCCTCAGGGTTTCTTTCGTCGCAGCATCCAGAAACAAATCGAATACCGCTGTCTGAGGGACGGAAAGTGCCTGGTCATTCGGCTGAACCGCAATCGCTGCCAGTATTGCCGCTTCAAGAAATGCCTCTCCGCTGGCATGAGCCGCGATTGTAAGTACCAAAACCTTAACTATACCTTCTGTAGCCGGGAAATATGATTAAGCCAAGTCCCAAATGCCAACCGTTTGGGGCCAAAGTGAAGGGGAGGCTGCACCTTTTCGGCTTGGTTTTTGTGCCCCTTGATAACTTTATTAGCTGCGAAACCACTGGCAGATTTCTGCCAAGAGATCGCAGATTGTGTCAGTTGGCTGTCAGTGGAAATTGGCAACTCCAAGATAAAGCCTTAGAAGACCAATTTATGCTACACTAAAAACAAGCTGGGGTTACAAAATTTTATTAAAAAATGAGAAGTATAGAAATTTCCTTAAAATTTTCATGTTTGAATATATTATTATAACAATATAATAGTATAATATAGTTGTTTATTATATTGTTTAGAAAGGAAAGTAAAAATCGTTTCTTGTTTATTTTTCCTCTGCAGAGTGTAACCTTTTTTTTATATTTTCCCCATGAAGCCTTGATAACTCTACACTAAATAATTGAATCAGCAAGCATCGGTTAACTAGTTAGCTAATGCCCCCTAAATCGTTTGTAAAACCTTTACTTAAGATAATTCGCCCATTTAAAAACTCAATTCGCGGACAGAGGCCGTCCATCCAGCCTTAAAACGGGCTTACAATCCGCCCAACCTTTTAGCTAAGCACCCATAAACAACTCCAGACTCGCCGCAGAAATGTGAGGCGGGCGGAAACCACAGCTTAAATGCAGTTGAAGTCGGGTTAGCCACAAATTTTCCCCTTGCCGGCTTGGAAAATACTTCCTGCAAAGCCGAAATGCACCCACGGTCCAAAACCAAGAGCGAAATTAGTTTTTATGACTGTTGTCAGCAGCGGCAACGCGAGCAACACGAGCAACACAGCAGCAACATCGGCAAAAGCTGCAACAACAATTGCTCCAGGGATCCCTTGGCTTTCAAATGCAATTTATTTGATGTTGCGCAATTAATTGCCCAAAAAGATCGGAAACAAGAGAGCGGCAAATAAAATCAGGCGACGGGCGAGTGTGTTGTTGCCGCTGTCACTGTTGCTGTTGCTGTTACTGCACGCGAGCAACATTTATTAGCCGAGTCTATTGGCTGCAACATTTGTTGCAATTTTTTATGGCATTTGTCTCGAAAAGAGTCGGGGCCCACAGTGTTGAGCAAACATTTCCTTAATTTTCTTCGACGCCCACGCAAAGTAAACCGCAAGGAAATCCCCTCGACCCACACTAAAAAATCGTGGAGCTGGCTTTTACCACATTTAATAGACTTGGACTGCACAGATTTCGCCCGTAGCCGACTAGATATGCTTGAAATAATATGGTTTCCTAAATTTAAATTTGTATTTATTTAAAAACTATTTAGTTATTTTTTTATTATTAAAATGTACCATCTTTAATAATATTAATAAATCCCTTTAAATTTGATTAAATTTTGACTGAATGAGATTTAAATTTGTATTTACTTTAAATCTGTTCACAATAATTTATAATGGTAACAATTCTTCTTGTACAAAAGTGTAAGTTTATTTTATTTAAATTAGTCTTAAGCATCTTCTAACTCCTACCATTTATAACCCACCGTTTATTATTATTTACAATTTATTATTTTATACTATCGACTACTATTTTCAGCAGAATATAAAATAGAAAGTTGAAAAATTTAAAGAATCTTGTTAACTTGTAAGTTACGAAGTTTTATGCACTATTTATGGCTCATCAAAAATCCATCAGTATGTTTTTCCAGACTTAAATCTTAAAGCCTAAGCGACTTTCCAACTCTAAAGAGATTAAAGAAGTAATAAAACACTTTTATGGGAAAAAGGTCCTAAAAGTTGCATCACCATTTATAACCCATCGTTACTGCCATATTTTATTTCCCCAGATTAATGATGTTTTCTCGCAGAGCATAGCAGCTTCGTTTCAGGGCTAAAGAGTTTTCCATTTTCCATATTTTTCCCCGCATCACTTTAGTGATTCTTCGTCCCGGTTGGCTTTAACTTTGCGACTTTTCCTTTGCCCCAATGCATATGGAAAGTTCAATAATTTACTTAAATTGCTTTTGAGGCAAGTTTTGCCTGGGCCCGAATGGGATGTTGCTGTTGTCGGTGGGCGGTTGCAACTTTCGAGGCGCCTTTTGATTTTTGCTTGCTCGCTTTAATTAGACTTTGCCACAGACTTGGTCGAATCGGATGGGGTTATTACGGCTTATGGTTTGTGGCAATGTTGCAGCTGGCGATTGCTGATTGCCATTTGCTGTTGCTGTTGCAGTTGCCGTGAGAGATTTTCCAATTAAGTTGGCTTGGAGAGCTGCTAACATCGTCGAAAGCCCAAAACGAACTTTAATTTTAGAGATTCCCTGTGCAAATGTTGGAGTTTTAGGTTTTTAATGGGTCAAACCGTTTTTACCCCGCCTCTAGTAACCTGCAAAAAAAAGTAGAGAAAAACAAATGCAATTATGCTGCCTGTGTGTATATGAGTGGGCGTGGCATTACTTTTATTTAATTTGCAAAGCTTTTGTTGGCAGTGGCACAAAGTACAATGAAAAAAAGGAAAATAGCGCGATGCTTGCCAAGCTGAAATTGCATTTCGGATGTTGCAGCAGCAACAGCAACAACGGCAGCAGCAGCAGCAACACCGTCGACGTCAACAGCAACACTTTGCATGGCTCTACAGGAATTTGGGTCAAACATAAAGCACATAACACTCACACACAGCCGCCCAAAAGTTTTCATGCCGGCATGCGGCATTTTGTGGCAATATCAACATCGCTGCCAGCAGCAGCAGCAGCAACAGCAACAGCAGCAACTGTGTTATGCCGGCAGCAGCATCTGCCTTCCTTTGCCTAAGCCAATTATTCCCCAAACAATTTGATAAACTTTTAGTTACATTTATTCACATTTAGTTAAAATTAAGAGGAGAAAAGGGGGTAACACGATACAAAAATTGTTAGAGTATTATGAAACATTGCTCAGCGAATAACTTTTCCGTAATTACTGTCTGGCATTCTCAACCTCTTACGTTGGTCCATAAAAGCTAAATGTAAAGTCCAATTTTTAAAATTCACAATCTAAAAAGCAAGAGATGTATTTACTTACTTGCTTAAAAATAATATGAGAGGTTCTTAAAAATGTTAAATGGTGAGGCAAAATGTTTTTATTAAGAGCGAGAAAACTTCTCATCTTATTTAGTATTAGTGTGTATTACTTAAAATCAGTGGCTAATATAACGAACGATATATATTTATATTTATTATATAAGTTATTGACCTTAAGTGTTCGTATTTTAAGCAATAGTTCGATTTAATAATCTCATTAAAAGTCCGAAAGTTTGATTATTTCATTCTCTCTAATTTCAAGGGGGTTTTTTTTTGTGCCCTAGAAATATACTAAACTCTGATCCAGAGTTGCCGGCAATAATGAAATTTATGTGAGAAGATTTGTCTGAGTTGGCTAATTGAAAAGTTTCCGGCCTGCTCTCTTTCTGCGCTTTTCTACTTCACAAATGTATGTTTGTTGCTTCTAATGCCGCCGTCAATCAAATTGGCCGCAAATCAAAATGCAATTAAAGCGCCAAGCGGGCCGCAGAACTTTTTGGACAAAGTTCTGGCTGTCTGCTGTTGGCTGTTGACTGTTTTACTGTCTGCTTGGGAATGGGCACATTGCTGTCGCTGCCGGCAGCAACATCAGCAGCAGATACAACAGCAACAGCAACATCAACCGCCAAGGCGACACAGTAACACAGAATCAAACTGCTCTCGACTCAATTGTAGTCAATTTGAAAGCCAACTATCAAATGTCAGCTACAAAGATCCGAGAATCGTTGCCACGACTCTTCTAGACGCTCAAAATCGAGTGCAAAACGAAACGGTTGCTGCCAAAAACTTCATGTTGCCGCTGCGCCTGCGCAGTGACAGCAGCAACAACTGCAGCAACAAAAGCCAGAGAGCAAGACAGGCTTATAATTGTGGCGTAAACTGGGTCAGTTGCCAACTGAGTTGGCCAGGCCAATCCAAATCCAAAAGCCAGACCCCGTTGCCCGTTGTACCGGAGTGCGAATGTTTGGTTGTTGGTTCTTTGACTGGCGGCCCATTGTGGCTGCTCGCTCTGTTTCTGCGCTTCTGACAATTGTCTTTTGTTTGGCCGTCGGTTACATTAAAGTTTAGCCACAGCCACAGCTTTACTTTGCCATTGTCTTATTCGCAAAATTTTATTATTATTTGGCAATAGCCAAAGCGGTCGAGAATGCGAAGAAAATATTCTGGAACATTGCATGGTCTTTGATTGCCGGCTGTCAGAATGCGGTACGCGATGCACGATGAGAAAATTGTAATTTATTTATTGTTTACAAAGTTAATGGTTGTTGTTACCATGTTTAAAAACAAACATTCAATACATTTTTATATGTTATTAAGCTCGTTGTAAATAATATTAATATAATTAAATCTTTATTTTATTGTTCCACAAACATTTCTCTTAATAAATTGGCAAATAATATTTTATTTTAATTATTTTTATGTTTATATCTTCCGCATACTGAAGTGAAATACTAAAATGCTATGCTTTAAAATACATTTTTAATTACAAAATTATAAACAACAATCCAAATTGGTCTTCAATATTGCTATGTGAATCCATATCAACTCAAATTTTTTTAAATTTTAAAAAGTTTCTTAATATTTTCCGGAATCACCCGGAATTTAAAGACGTAAATGAACTGTAAATACTTGTTTATTTGCCTGGAAACATCACCTTAAGGCGTACAGTTCACGATTATCTCTCTGGATTTCATTCAACTTTTTATCGATTGCCTCATGAAGTTCACCAAACCTCCGGATTTCGATTCCGTTTTCGAAATGAACTCCCCAAACGCCAGCCTTCCGCTTCCTTTGAAATTCCCCCAGCGCCTTTCACTTTCAGTTGTCGTTGCTGTTGTCGTTGTCGTTGTTGCTGTGGTTGCTGTTGATGTTGCTGCAGTGCTGCTTCCGCTGCCATTGCCCAACTTCCCCTTCG